AACTTTGGTTTTTTAACATTGGGATATGTACTGCTGTTTCATTTTGGCGGCAGGAGAGTAATTGGGTCTTTTGGGTAAGTCACTTTCTTTAGAGATAAAATGGTGGCCAATTTGGTGATTTAAAGCTCTGCAGTGTTAGTCCTGCTAACCTACAGTAGTACTAAGCTCTAACTATAAAGTTAGGGCTTCCCAGGTGGCACAGTGGTAAAGAATCTGCCTGTCAATGCAGGAGATGCAAGAATTGCCTGTTGGGTCATTGGGTTGGGATGATCTGCTGGAGTAGGAAATGTCAACCCACTCTAGTACTCTTGCCTGGAAAATTCCATGGACAGAGGAGTCTGGCAAGCTACAGTCCATGGGATCCCAAAGAATTGGACATGACTGAGTGACTAAGCATGCAAAAAAAAAAGTTAACCCTACTCTTGGGATTTAGAAGAAAAGACGTGTACACTGGAGACAAGCGCTGGCTCTGCCATTCATTAGCTTTGTCAGTCCCAGACAATATTCCTGAGCTCCCACTTCCCATTTGTAAAGTAGGAATCAAAATCTTCATTTCAAAGATTATCATGAGGTTGAAAGACAATAATGCATGTAATGTACTTAGTTCAGTGAGTGGCTATAGTTTAATAGATGAGAACTAATTGCAATAGGAAAGACTAGTATTTTGAGTTCAGTTCAGTTCAGTCTCTCAGTCGTGTCCAACTCTTTGCAACTCCATGAACCACAGCACGCCAGACCTCCCTGTCCATCACCAACTCCTGAAGTCCACCCAAACCCATGTCCATTGAGTCGGTGATGCCATCCAACCATCTCATCCTCTGTCATCCCCTTCTCCTCCTGCCCTCAATCTTTCCCAGCATCAGGGTCTTTTCAAATGAGTCAGCTCTTCACATCAGGCGGCCAAAGTATTGGAGTTTCAGCTTCAGTATCAGTCCTTCCAATGAACACCCAGGACTGATCTGAATCAGTCTGGTTGGATCTCCTTGCAGTCCAAGGGACTCTCAAGAGTCTTCTCCAACACCACAGTTCAAAAGCATCAATTCTTCGGTGCTCAGCTTTCTTTATAGTCCAACTCTCACAGAGTTAGCAGAATACTAATAATATAGTATTCCCTGTTCATTGGGCAAGATATCCTACAAAATATTTTCTTTAACCTTGTTTATTTAGCCTCTTTACAGCACACATGAGTAACAATCACAGCAGATACTGTGTCAATAAGCAAGCAGAATGGAAAATAATTAATGTAATGTGCTTGTGTGCATGGAAGTCTCTATCAGAAATTATAATGCTCATGACCTGTATTCTCCTAGAATGAAATTAAAGCTCACAATGGCTTTGTATGTGCATTAGCTATTATTTTGTACTTTCAGGAATATTTGCTATCTCTAGTTTGTTGTGATTATTTGTGAAAAGCAGAAACAGGAAGAAGAGATATGAAACTGTGCTGGATTAATAAGAGTGCCTGAGGCATGGACAGAATATTATTGTACTTCATACAAAAATAGGGTGACCCAGCTAAGCTCAGATATCAAACCTATCTGTACCCAGGAGGATGTTAATTTTCAGTGAAAACTCTTGGACAGATGCCAATAAATTCTGGGAAAAGGAAATAATATTATACAGACTCCTTCTCTGAGATCTTTGATGTCCAGAGAGAAACCCTTTTTGAAAAGACAATTATTTTCTCCTTTGGCTCATCTTTGAGGATTGCTGCAGCTGGGTCATTTTGTACCCAAAGACCACCACAAAGTTCAGAGCGTGTAGGAGGGGCCTTCCCATTAAATCTTTGGTCAACCATTCACATTTTCCAAAAGTTAGTTGACAATTACAAGGTTTGGGGACTTTCAGTTATAATTGTATTGCAAAAATAATAAGAGAGGAACCAGGCAGAGGTTATGTTAACAGGCCTTTGGTGGCTGTCAAGGACATGTGGTTCAGCCTTTGAAGTCAGTTTCAATAGATTTTCATGTGAAATAAGTGAAGTAAAATGTTGCCATTTCAGATTTCACAAGTAATATTGTTTAATGTACTGATGTTGTTTCTTGTAAATTTGTTTTAGGGAGCTATTTTATTTCCTCTGACTACTATTTCGGAACTCCTCTATTAAGCGAAGCAAAACAGGGGGTTGAAATTACATCTCTATTTCTGTTTTTATGTTACTTTAAAAAATTAATTCAAGCCCTTGTTGTTTTCTTTTTAAATAAAACAGATACAAAAAGCTAAAAGAATGTGAAGTAACAGTCTTTTTTCCCTAGTCTCTCTTCATATCCCTTTCAAAATTTCTTTTTTTAATGTCCAAAAAAATACAAAACCAAATTTTATGTGTAGACCCACTCATGCAGCAGATACACTATATTGTGTATTTTACCCAAACAGAAATAAATATTATAAAGTACTTTGATTCCTCTCTTAACATTTCTTGGAGACATTTCAATATTATTATATATAGATCTTTGCATTCTTTTTAATATTTGCAAGTCATTCTATTGTTTGAATGTACCATAATATATCTAACCAGTGATTTCTGTATCTTGTTATTACAAATACTACTGTAATGGACAGGATAAATTCCTTACATGGCATTTCTTGGATCAGTGCATCTTGTTTTGACAGATTAATAAAGTTCCTACTAAGAGTATGTGTGAGTGCTTGTTTTAGGCAGGTATTCTATTGTCTGTGTGTGTCTTCCTCTATACCAGGTTGACGGTGTGGTATCAATCGATGTAAGCAGAATAAGTAAATAAAGAATAGAAACTTGGATACAACAAAGGTGTTAGTCAGGGTCCCACCAGGGAACAGAACACCCACTCAAATGAGAATAATTTAAGGATGAGTCATTTACAAAGAACTGTTTATAATGATGCAAGTGGATAGACGGGAAACCCATGGAATCATGCAGTAATCTTCAGGTGGTAAATAGTGGCTGAGTTACCACCTCTGAGGCATAATGGAGAGAGGAGGGAGCAGACATTGGACTTCAAGGGAAGTCACATAAGGAAGTTCACCTTGAGAGGAGTTGTACATGGCCTTATGTTGAGGGCCAAGGCATCATGAGGGTCCCCTTTCCCACAGTTTCCTGGGGGCAGGGGTCCCATTGGCTTAGCGAAGCAGAAGCCAAAGCCCATGCTCTTCAATGGGGTCCATACCAGTCAATTTCACAAGGCAAACAGGATGGTTACAAAGGATGAAGACTACAGCATCTTCCCACTAGCTATCTATTTTATACATGATAGTGTATACATGTTAAGGAAGCTCATCATGGTGCTCTGTGATGATCTAGAGGGATGGAGTTGGGGGGGAGGTTCTAGAGGAAGCAGATATATGTGTACTTATAGCTGTTTGATAGTGTTGTACAGCAGAAACGAACACAACACTGTAAAGCAATTATACTTTAATTAAAAAAATATCCTATGACAAAGCTTAAAGGCAAAGAATATTAAAAAAGAATGGAGATATATATATATATATATATATATAAAACCAAATCACTGCTGTATAACAGGAGTTAGCAACAATTGTAAACAACGTAAGTTGAACAATTGTAATTTACAATGAACAATTGTAAATTATTTACAGCATTGTTAAAATTAACATTTGTAAACAATTTACAACATTGTAAATCAACTATACTTCAATAAAAATAAATTTACAAAAGAGTGAAAAATAGATCTGAATAGGGCAAAAAATTAAAATCACCCCAACATAAAGATGATTACTATCACTACTGATTTCCAGAATGACTCATCCCAAACCAGGTAAAGACCTATACAACCTGAGCACATATCTAGGGGAAGAGTCTTTTTTTTTTTTTTTATAAAGTATATCTCCTTATTAACCCAATATTTTATTTTGTGAGTCATCTGCAGGGAGGGACCATATCTAATTTATTCATCACACTTTTAGCAGAGCCCAGAACAGTGCCTGGCACAGATGAAGCACTTAATAACTAGTTGTTGGGCAAATAAATGCCAGAAAAAAAGGATCTTATTTCTGAACTTGGCATTTTATAATGTTATTTAAGCCAGTTTCTTCATTTTCTTTTCCTATGACTGGTGGTGGGAAATTGCCTTCTAGAGAATGGTGGGGCTCTCCTGCTTTCACGAGAGGCCAACCCTAGAATTGAAGTTATACCAGCGGGTTCTTCCTGTATGTTCCAGGGTACAGGGTTTCACTCACACGCAGAGCATGTGTGTGTGTGCATGGCTGCTCAATCGTGTCCGACTCTTTGCCACCCCTGTGGACTGTAGCCTGCCAGGCTCGTCTGTCCATGGGATTCTCCACGCAAGAATCCTGGGGTGGGCTGCCATGCCCTCCTCCAGGGGATCTTCCCCACCCAGTGATCAAACCCTCATCTCCTCTGTCTCTTGCATTGCAGGCAGATTCTTCACCAGATGAGCCATCAGGAAAGCCCACACAGAGCACAGTTGACGGGAATAATTACAGACATATAAACAGCATTCGAGGTGATGGGAGGTTTCCATTCCTACTCTTTCCAAAATATTTTTTCCCCTTCAGGTTTATTGAGATTAAATTGACAAACAAAATTGTGTATATTTAACAAGTACAATGAGATGACTTGGGACGTTGTTACCACAGTCAAATTAATTGACACAATTCATCACCTTCCATAGTTACTATAGTTACCACAATGTCCATTAGCGCCTCAATCCACAAAGGGTTCTGAACTCTCAATTGATCATCTCAAACATCTGTTCACAGTATGAACTTCCTTGGCAGAGATTTCTTACATCTGGATTATTATTCTTGGAAATCTTTGAATCTAATTGACACTCATTCCATTAAAGCAGTGATCACATTGAACTGTATTTTTTTCCTCTTGAATGACTTTGTTAAATATAAATTTTGTTGTCTAGCTGCCTGAAGTTTCAGACCCTGCCTTTTTCATCATGAAATCCACAGCATGAATCTCAGCACTTAATAGATGCTCAGTAATTAGAAGCTGAATTTATTCAGGTCAATATTCTTCTTTCCTTTTCTAGGCTCTTCTGGACACATTCCTAGACTTTGGAGATACAGCAAGAAAGTCGATTCTCACTCTTTTCTGCTATTGAACAGAGAGCATGAACATGACCATGGTAAGACAGAATAAACTTGGGCTTTAATATGAGACCAACCAGAGCTCATATCACAGTTGTGCCATTTCTAGCTTGATAACCTTGAGTTATCAACTTCTTGAGTTATTCAGCTTCTCTGAGGTTACTGAGAGAATGTAATAAGTTTATGTACACAGTAAATTCACTGACATGAAGAAATACTAGCTTCCCTGCTTCTATCACCCTCTTTTCCCTTAAGGGCCCCCAAAACTGTGCTCTGGTTAAAGTCAAATGATGAGACAGTGGATTCAAACGGAGGCATTTAAGGTCCTTCTTGTAATTTTAGAAAAATTCATGGCATGATGGGAATCAACATTCTTCCATTAAACTTTCCTTTCCATGAGATGTGGAAACTTAATCCTAGTATTGCTTACTTTTATGTATTTATTTTTTGGCCACACCACACAGCATGAGGGATCTTAGTTCCCCAGCCAGGGTTCGAACCCATGCTCCCTGCAGTGGAAGCTCAGGTCTTAACCACTGGACCACCAGGGAAGTCCTAATCTTAGTACTACATTCAATGAACAACTGAACAAAATACCATAGGAATTCATGTCCATTCACTCCCCTCTTTTCTACATAAGCTGGTAAACTTGTTTTCAGTTCAGTTCAGTTCAGTCGCTCAGTCCAACTCTTTGCGACCCAATGAACCACAGCACGCCAGGCCTCCCTGTCCATCACCAACTCCCAGAGTCAACCCAAACCCGTGTCCATTGAGTCAGTGATGCCATCCAACCATCTCATCCTCTGTCATCCCCTTCTTCTCCTGCCCTCAATGTTTCCCAGTATCAGGGTCTTTTCCAATGAGTCAGCTCTTCGCATATACCTTTAGGAGGTATAATATTTGAATCAATGAATGTTTGTGTTGAAATGATAGTGTTATACCCTCATTCTCATTCATTCATGAATCTTGTGATCCATCTTTGTGGGTCTTTAGATTAATCATCGATATTTTGTTCTTGAGTTAACCTGTCCACACAATTTTATAAACACACCAGGATTATTTCCCAACCTTATCAGATGATGCTAAATTAGCTTTCTTCAAGTTCTTTTCAGTTTTACATGACCATCTAAGTATTATACATAAAATTATAACATGAAAAATATAGTATACATTAAAATTGTATAAAATGACACTATATGTAAAATTAAATATGTGCAATTGTAGCAGTCTTACTAATAGTATTAAGTTATATCCCCCAAATTCTGAAGGCTCAGGAGTCACCGGGTGTGGCATGCATAGCGTTGGCCCCCTGTGCCTGTTCACCTTAATTGCCCCTCCTCCCACCATGCTCTCTCTGAAGCCTTTATTCCAGTCATGCAGGCAGAAACTTCTTTTGGCTTCACCAAGGCTCACATTCACCAATTCCACTCACATTCCCAGGGTCGGTTCCTCCTGCTCACCTTTCAGCTTTCCACTTGAAGCAGCAGCTTCTACAGAGGCCATTCCTGACCCCTCCTAGGGTCACTCACCCTGCCAGGTCATCCATAGCACACTGCCCTTCTAGTGGGTAGTGCTTTCCCTATGTCAATGTTAATGCTGATTTAACTTTCTTTTTTTAATGTAATTTTTATTCTATCCTGGAGTACAGTTGATTTATAATGTTGTGTTAGTTTCAGATATACAGCAAAATGATTCAGTTATACAAATATATGTGATTTAACTTCCTGACTCTTTCTTCATATTATAAGACCTCAGAGGAAAGGACCTGTGAATTGTCTTATTTCTTGTTATATACCTGTTGTCTGGCATAGTGCATGATCCATGCATGCATGCATGTTACATCGCTTCATTCGTGTTTGACTCTTGGTGACCCCATGGACTATAGCCCCCTAGGCTCCTCTGTCCATGGGATTTCCCAGGCAAGAATACTGGAGTGGGTAGCCATTCCAATCTCCAGGGCATCTTCCCAACCCAAGGAACTATTCCAGGTTTCCTGCATTGCAGGCGGATTCTTTACCAACTTTACTCACCTCTATATCTAACAAGAGATGGGGTTAGTGGACTTCTAAGGAATCTTCTGCCTCTGGCCCAGGCAATATATATAATATTAAACTATCCAATGAATAGATTCTACTATTTTCTTCCTGGTAAATTGTGTTTCTTTATGACAACTCCAAGTCATGATGCACAAAACACCAGAAAGAAGAAAGCAGATACGAACCACAAAAATTACATCATTATTTAGGCTTCTTAAATAAGCTATTATTTTGTTTTTGTTTTGAGGGCCCTAGCATGGCAATAGTCTTAAAAGCAGACACTCTCGAAGGAGAAAACGATGTTCTCGGTTCCTTAATAGCTCATTGGCACATCAAGGTAGAAGATTAAACCATGTGAAGTGAAGTTCAGGATATGATCTAAGGGATATAGTTATCACAAAGGGAAGAGCAAAAGCCCATTCATCCTGGAGCACATGGGGAGAAAGAAGAAGGTCAACAGGAAGTGTGTAGTGAAATACATCTGCTGTGGGTCTCTGTTGTTGTTATTGTTGTTTAGTCGCTAAGCCATGTCTGACTCTTTTGTGATCCCATGAACTGTAACCCGCCAGGCTCCTCTATCCATGGGATTCTCCAGGCAAGAATACTCGAGTGGGTTGCCATTTTCTACTCAAGAGTATCTTCCCAACCCAGGGATCGAACCCGAGTCTCTCATGTATCTTATGTCTTCCCAACTCAGGGATAGAACCTGAGTTTCTTATGTATCTGCATTGGCAGGCAGCTTCCTTACCACTAAGTCACCAAGGAAGCCATGCTGTGGCATCTCTGCTTTGTTTAAATCCCTAACAAGAATTTCCATACTGATAAGGGATATATTAGTTAGGTCCTCAGCAGGAAGATGTACATTCAAGGCTTTGAGCAAAGAAAATTTAATGAAAGGGCTATTTACAGAGAGGTATGGACAGAATTAAAGGAACCAGTAAGAGATGAAGAAGCACCAAGGATTATCAACAGAGGGGAAGCATCAGAAAGGGGAGCTGAGTTTTGGGATCCACAAGAGGAAGAGTTTTAACTGTATGCAAGAGAGTCATTCAACAGGAGCTGTGACTATCGATACAGAGAGAGCCAGTGTCAGACTCCGGCCCTACCGGGGGAGTGTGGAGGGAACACCTCTACTTCTGTCCCTCCCCACCTCTTGAACTCCAACTAATGATGTGAAGTGATTTGGCAAATTCAAACCCAGAAACTAGAGGACAAGTGAGACTCTGATCTGGTCTAAAAGGGACAGTGGGATTTTTTTCCCCTGGATTTTCCCCCAGGAAAAAATAATAGGGGCAGATGGAGAATAACTAACACAGAATAATTTCCAGGCACATGGGGTTGTACTTCGTGTGCCTGGACATAACCTGTGAAACTTCACAGTTAGTTTGGCACCATGTCAAAGGGTCATGCAAATCCTTGTCTGAGAGTGGACTCCTATGCGATTTGGCCCCTAACATGGATAGAGCCGTGTCTTAAACCTATTTGTCTCGCTCCCGAGCCCATGCTATTATCTACCAACTACCAACTATTTTTGGCTCCTGTTGTCAGATCCTCAGCAGACAATCTGCTGAAGCAGCATTTATTTTTTCCAGTCTAATCTCCCAATGATGGAGTACCATTTCATTTTTGTAGGAAAATCTGAAGGTATATTTTTTTTTTAAATGGCATTTCCTTCAGTACATCCTTTCAGTAGCAAAACACTATAAGAATGCATTTTCATCATTTTGATGAAATGGATCCAAGACTAAAAGAATACCACCTAATAGAAATTGCTAAGTGCTAATGAGCTTGAAATCTTCCTTTTCCTAAACTATACTAACTGGGTTCAAATTTTTACCTTGCCCCTTACTTATAATGTCTTTGGCAAACCGTTTGAATTCTTTGTACATCATTTTCTGTACCTGTGAGATCGAGGTGAAATAAGATAGCTGTTAGGAATCCATATTTTGATGTACCTAAAATCCTTTCAAGAGTGATTGGTATATAGTAAAGATTAAAGGGACTTCCCTGGTGGTCTAGTGGTTAAGAATCTGCCTGCCAATGCAGGGGACACAAGTTCAATCCCTGCTTTGGGCAGATCCCACATACCGCAGGACAGCTAAACCTGTGCGCCACAACTACGGAAGCCCTTGCCCCCAAAGCCTGTCCTCTGCAACAAGAGAAGCCTCGGCGATGGGAAACCCATGCGCCACTCTAGAGAGCAGGCCTGGCTCTCCACTACGAGGAGAAAAGCCCATGAGGCAACCAAGACCCCGCACAACCAAATATAAATAAAATTACAAGAAAAAACCAACTGTGACTCCCAGCTAAATCCATATTTCTAGAAAAAATGAGTAAAGACTCATTAAATGTTATTATTACATGCCTTAACAGTAACACCTTGTGCTTTTTATTCAGGAAACTTTTAGTGGACACCCACTCTACAGGGAAGACCTATGAAAAACAGTTTTTGTACATAACATCAGAACTGGGTAGGAAAAACAGACTAGTAAATACAAGGAATTGCATGACAATTCAGAGAGAGTCACAGAGGTCTGGGTTACTCTAACTACCATTATTGACTGGTGGTACCACAAATTCAAACTGGCCAGAAAATGGTTGAGATGTGAAATAGGCAAGAAGAGAAAACCAAACTTTGTGATCAATATGACAGTCGTTCCTTATTTGTGATACGTTTGAACTTTTGTTTTTTTAAGTTTTAACATTTTAAAAAGTCTTTTCAAGATATAACCCTGGTTTTATGGAGTTTTCACTAGGACAAGCTGCTCAAAGACACAAGTTCAGTTGCTAGCACTACAACTTGCTGGCTCAGTGATGCTGGACCATCCTCTCTGAGCATCCTCATCTGTAAAATGAACCTAGCATCCACCCTTTTGTGCTGCCTACATAAAACACCATAAGGATCAGATAAGCTAAATGGATGTGCTATTAAGTGTTAAAAACATGAGACTGTGTAAATGTAAAGAAGAAAGTTGTTATCCCATGATATACCCTGAGATGAC